GGGGGTGAAAAATAAAGAACAAAAAATTGAAAACAGAGAAGAAAAAGGTTATACTGTGTTAATCTACACCACGAAAATGCCGGATAACCAGCTTTTTAAAGTGAGACAGATTGTATAAGTATGGAAACACAGAAGGCAGAGCATTCCACAGTTTGGCTGTGTGAGGAAAGGAGGTACTATAACGGGTTATTCTCGTGTGACCGATATCCACAGAGAAATGGTGGGCACCACGGGCAAGACGTGTGTTACGAGCCTACGACCTTGCCGGCGGTACACAGGATGCCAAATCCACCGAACATTGCCCGTTAAAGTACCTGTAAAAGAGAGAGAGTGAAGCAACATTGCGGCGAAGAGAAAGGGAAGAGAGATTGTCAACTAAAGGGTCATCTTTTTCCCAGACTTTGTTCACAATTATCAAGTAATAATTAAAATGCTTAAATAAATCAATTTACGGAATTAGAATTTCTCTTACAGGCATCTCTCCAGCCATGAAGGTGACTCAAGAAGACTCAGAGGCACCGGCAGCAGAAATGAAAGCATCACCTCCACAGAATGATGTCTGTAATTCTTGGCCATCAGAGAGTAAAGCTGAAGATGGCAAAAAGCAGCGCATGAGAAACAGAAAAGAGGGTCCACTCAAAAGCCAGACTTGGTGCAGCAACGAGGAAGCACAAGATTCATTGTAGCTAATAATTCATTGTGTTTCTCTACACTATACGGTCTACTTTATATTGCTGGAGTAATTTTGTTTTGGTAGATGGGACATAGTGTTCTTTTTCTCAATCAAATATCTCATTCCATTCATACCAATTTATTAATATTTTGGGGACATTTGAGTTGGACACAATAAATTGCTAAAGTTTGTAACTCCTGTAACATAATTATATTAAATGAAGAATAAAATAATTGCATTAAAAACATTTATGAATATAAATTTTACACTTTCTGATTGTATATATGCACAGTATTGTATTGTATATATGTGTGTGTAGACATACACACACAAACACATACAAATAAATAATAATGGGAAAATCCTCTCACAAATACAGGTAGTCCCCGACTTACGTCCATTGGTACTTATGACCTGCTCTGACCGTACGTACATCGGGACATACGACTGCGACCGTCGTGACCAAAAATATTTTCAAATGACGCGATCATTTTCTATACCGAAACGTTTCCGTCCCGGGCGAGAGGGTGGCACGTCTTGGGTCGCCTCATGGGTACACTCACTCAATGGAGCTCTTAGTTGGTGTTTGGCTATTGTATTTTATACTGATCGCTCGGTGAACTTTCGTTATTATCATATTTAATTGACTTTATAATGATTGGAAAGCGTAAAAGTGAGAGTGCTGTTGGTACTCCAAAGAAAAGGAGACAGGCAATTACTTTTGAGATGAAAATGAAGATAATAACTCAGCATGAGAATGGAAAAACAGTAGCAACAATCTCACGTGACCTAGGTTTCTCACACTCGACTATATCCACTATTCTGAAGGACAAGGAACGTATTCGTGATGTAGTGAAAGGAACAACACCTATAAAGGGAACTATAATATCAAAGAGAAGACAAGGTCCTATTCACGATATGGAAAAATTATTGGTGATATGAATAGAAGACCAGATACAGAAGCATGTACCCTTAAGCCTTCTAACCATACAGGCTAAAGCAAGATGCCTGTTCCAAAGCCTGAAGGAGCAGGCAGGAGATGAATGTGATCAAACCTTTACAGGAAGTCATGGGTGGTTTGATAGATTTAAAAATGCTACAGTCTACACTATGTTAAGGTGAGTGGAGAGGCAGCTAGTGCCGATGTTAGTGCTGCCGAAGCTTTTAAGGAGGAGTTAGATGATGTGATTGTGGAAAGGAATTATTTGCCTGAACAAATATTCAATGTGGATGAGACTGGATTATTGTGGAAGCGCATGCCTGAGCGGACATACATCCACAAAGAGGCGAAAACAATGCCCGGATTCAAGGCATTCAAGGACAGAATTACACTTCTGTTGGGGGGAAATGTTGCTGGCTTCAAGCTAAAGCCCTTCATGATCTATCATTCAGAGAACCCCAGGGCTTTTAAACATGTCAGCAAGCACACACTGCCAGTGTTTTATCGCAGTAATCAGAGAGCCTGGATGACCTTAGCACTGTTTGAGGATTGGTTCATGACTTGTTTCATTCCACGAGCCAAGGAGTATTGTCTGCAACAACGGATTCCATTCAAGATTTTGCTAATTTTGGATAATGCTCCGGGACACCCACCACACCTGGACGACATGCACCCTGATGTTAAGGTAGTCTACATTCCACCTAACACTACCTCTATCATCCAACCCATGGATCAAGGTGCTATTGCTGCCTTTAAAGCGTATTATTTACGTACAACCTTCGCTCAGGCTGTTGCTGCTACTGAAGGTGAGAAAACGCTCAGAGAGTTTTGGAAGGAGTACAACATTTTGTCATGTATAAAGAACATTAGTGCAGCCTGGGATCAGGTTACAAAACATTGCATGAATGGAATATGGAAGAAAATCCTGAAAAGATATGTGAACAATTTCAAAGGATTTAATGAAAATGAAGTTATTTCGGAGATTAGTAACAAGATAGCGGAATTAGGTAAACAGCTGGAGTTAGAAATTGATAATGAAGATGTTGAACAGTTGGTTGAAAGTGTAGCATAAGAGCTCAGTAACGAGGATCTTATTGAACTAGATGCACAGAAAATTGCAGAAGAAGAAGAGAGACAAAATGTAGAAGAAGAACCTGCACCCCCCAAAAAGTTTTCAGTGAAACAAATGGCAGAGGCATTTGTTACAATTAATAAAGCAATGCAAATGTTTGATAGCATGGATCAAAATTATGAGTGTTATGCCAAAGTTGACAGAACCATCAAAGATACACTTGCTTGCTACAGAGAAATTTATAATGAAAAGGAAAAGCAAACTGTGCAGTCTAAATTGGACATCTATTTGAAGAAGTCCCCCAGTGCTGTCTCCTCACGTCCCACCAGTGCTGCCTCTTCACTCCCTCAAGATGAACCAATACCTTCAACCAGCAAGTTTCCACAGCACATAAACCTGTCTGAAGAAAGCGATAATTGATGACCCACCCAGCCCTGTCTCCTCCTCTGCTTCATCCAAATAATATAGTCTCCATGTATCCTGCAAATAGAAAATTATGGGGGCCCCGTGTGCATTCAGCAGACTACATTTAAGGTAAGTGCTCAGTCACATTGTATCCATTCCTCATTATTTATTACTTTTACTGTACTGTATCCATTCCTCATTATTTATTACGTTTAGTGTACTGTATTTCATTTGTTACGAGTTGGGGATTTAGAATATAGTTATACGTCTACCCAGATCCCAACAGGCAACAAAAAACAAAAAACAAAGACAACCGGACTATAAAAGGGTAGACAAAGGATGCGAGTTTTCGTTGTGTATAATAAAGTACCATAAATCCCTAAACAAAATATTCAGCTTATAAATTACCCTTAACCAAACTTAACCTAAACATTAACAGTATATACATATTAATACAACATAAACCATTTTGAAGCAAGTGGACGTGGGGAAGTAATACAAGATACATGTACTTAAGTGAGGAGCTGAGATGGCTGACGAGTAAGGCTGAGTATTGTAGAAGACGGTAGGTAGTCACTGTGCCGTAGGTTTAGAGGATAGATGATCCTGTGGTCACTTCCCAGAGCCAAGTCCTCTCTCCTCGAATTCGAGCTCACAAAGAAGACTTGGAGGAAGTGACGCAACAACCAGGATATGGAGAAGGGAAACCCCGGAGTGTTAACTAAGACGAGTCATACTCGTGTCTCGTCCCTATATGGTGGTGCTCGTGGTGCTGGGTAGGTAGATCATGACAATCGGTGGAGGGGTTCGTAACACATTGTAGATTTTTAATTTAAAAAAAAAATTGAAAATTTTATTTTTTTATTTTATTTATTTATTTTTTCTATGGTATGTTGGACTTACGACCATGTCGGACTTACGACCTGGATTTGGGTCCCTAACCCCGTCGTAAGTCAGGGAGCACCTGTAATCAGAATTTTTTTATTCAAAATGTTGAGTCTACCTGCAGGTCCATTCCATGAACTTGAGGGTAGACTTAACATTTTGAATAAATTTTTTTCTGTTTATTTGTGAGAGTATTTTCACATTATTATGTATTTGTATGTGTTTGTGTGTGTATGTGTCTACACTCATATATACAATGCAGGTAAAATAAATAATTGTCCTAAGGGCAAACACGTAAAGGGACTATACATTTCTTTGTATAGTACACAAGTAAATATGTATCCCCCCTGGTCAGCAAATGTTATTCGCAGATTTGGCATTTCGTGGTCATTTTGAGAACCTAACCCCCGCGAATTTAAAGGGTATGTTGTATTTCGAATTTAGTGATTTATTTTAAATTTGGGGCAAATATTTTACTTGTGGCCTTGTAGTCAGCTGTCCAACATCTTTGGTCTTTCTCCTCTCCTTTGTTTTTAAGTTTGAATAAGATGGTTCCTTTTGTCTGCTTGTGATTCAGTTGTACTATATAGTACTGTACAGTACTGTATAGCCATAAACAACACACAAGTTAAGCATTATTGTCACAATCTATTAAGCTAAACTATGTTCACCTCCTCTTGTTCACATGTGTGGTGACAAAATCTTCGCTTGAGACTATTGTTATGATTGTAGTACAGTTGCAGAAATGTGTTCCTACACCACCGTGGTAACCTGTCTCCAAATGGCCAACCTATATGACCTATAGCATTAGCAAGCCTATCCACCAATCACGTCTGTCATTACACGACCAATACCCATTCATTCATAAATCGTGATACTGTACTGCGACTGTGACGGTGCCATTTGGAGACACTGGTTACCACAGGGGGTGTAGGAACACATTCCCGCAACTGTACCACAGTAAATATGACATCGCTTCTCATTGTTCAGAAATGATAAAGGGATTGGGTGTGAATAGGCAAGAATTTGCTGTGAATTTTTATTTGAAATTCTGTGACAGCTGAATCCTCGCTTCACAGTTTAGAGAACACAACAACTTTTGGAAAATACTAATACAAATTATGAAAAAATATGAAATACTGTATAAACATCACCCTAATACTGAGGACATAGAATACAATAGAATAAAGTGCAGCTATGGGTGAAGGAAAGGTCTGGCAAAGGGCAGGTTGCCGTCCCCTAGGTAGCGGTCTTGGCAGGAGTGGTGTTTGGGCTCCCGACAGCGATTCCAAGTTCCAGGATTCTCATAACCTCCCTTTGCTTTTCCAATATTGGTGACCCTGAGAGTTCTCCAGTGGGCAGCATGCTTAAGGTAATCAATCCCTAGTTTGTTCCTTGTGTGAAGTGCTGGGTTGGAACTGACAATGGTCCAGCGGCCGGCATACATAATTGATGTTGGAATGTGTCTGTATTCAAGGGGTAAAAGTTCTCTACTTGTGTAATTAGCATGATTGATTAACTCGAGGAAAAAATAAGGACAATAAATTGTAAAATATCTACCATGTATATTCATATTCAGGTAGCATTTTCGTTGTCTAAGAAATGGACCATTGATAGACCGCCATTTCATGTATTCATGCTGAGACATTATAAGATCATGATCAAAGTCCCAAGGCAGATAAAACCCCATTTTAACAGCTCCCAAGGCTGAACCTGCTTGAAGTTCATATTCAATATTCATCAGTTTTGCATAATCAATCAAGTAACCAAGTTCTTGTGATATGATGGCTCTACAACAAGGTGGTAAAAGGAAGCAACTTATAGTACGGAGAGGACGTTTACAGGTTATGTTGACAGCATCACAAGAGAAGTTATGGACTTGTCCGGTGTAAGAGAAGACCTTCTCGAGAGCCCAGTGACGCGCCATAGGCAGCCAGTCTTCACTGGTCATGTTGACGTGATTAGTGAGGAAGAACATGACGTCAGGACACACCATGGTTAAGTGGCCCGCTTCACGTACCTTGGCCAACCAGTCACGATACACGGCTGGGCCGCTGAGGCTGCTAGTGAAGGCCACTTTGTTGACCAGCTTGACAGTAGTGATAAAAGGCGTCAACACATCATCACAGTACATACACTCATATTTAGAGTAATAGTAACCCATGGTGTAGGTGGCTTGGTAGTCTGCCATGCGCTGCTGCAGACAACCATGAATCCAGTGGCCTTGGAGGTCCCTGGCAGCACCCCCGGCCACCTTCACATGTTCCAGCTCATCCAGGACCCTTACCAGCCGCTCCAGGGACGACTGGTTGCTGAAGTGTGCTAGTGACGTGCCCATGAACACATACGGTGTTGTTACCATCTCCACCGCCTTGTTGAGCAAGTCACCTCCACTTAAGGTCTCGTTTTTGATCTTCAAAGCTTTAACATCCCTTAGTGTTGGATCTACGACAACTCTTTTAGGAATTATAACAATAATGGGTATGTCATACCATTTTCTGATCTGGGTGATGACAAAATTAATGGTTTGTGGTGGCCAAGACATGGCTGGTAGCACAGCTGTGAGAACACGTGCGAATGGCGGCACATATGTACAGTTCTCTGGTTCCATACCGTGCTGGTGGAAGGAGAAACCCATCTTAGGACCAAAATACATCTCAGGGCAGACATGCCTAGTCTTGTTAGGGAGGACAGGTGCTGGACCCATATCTGGGATCCTGGCAGAGTAGTCCCAGGAGGAGTTGTTGGTCATTGAGGGTGCCAGCTCCTTCACCAGTGCTCCAAGCTTTAGTACCCACTTGGTATCTACTGTTGTGGTTGTACCTAATATATCAAAGACAAATACAGAACAGTTCTTATTTCAATAGAATACTTTCTTATTGACAAAGGAAAATATTACTTAAGACATATTCCACTGAGGCTATATGTTTTACTTGTGATATCAAGTTTAATGATGGAAATTGTGATGTCATGGGATTTATGACCCTGTGGCTGTGACCTTCATATAAGAAATGATAAATGAAATTTCACTTTATATTTATGAAGAGAATTATTAAGATTTTATGGACTCAAATTTCAAAATACTTTGGTTGAGCATCTACTAAAAACTTTACCCTACACAGCCCAGGGCATAATGTAAGTGTATGTAGAATGTGTTTTATAAATACTGTATTCGTATAGTATACTGGACATGTATTTTGGTACATTACTACTGTTTGGCTAGTACTGCTAGGTTACTTGTCTACTATAAATGGTTTACTCTTACTATCCTACTACACTACACTGATCTACTACTGTTTACTACTACTACTACTTCTTACTACTACTTATCTACTACAGTGTAGTCTTGATTTACGCTGATTTTGTTTACGCATTTGGTCATTTACGCATCACCTTGCCAGAATGAAATTTTTTAATTACGCGGTAAATTTCATCATTTACGCCGTGAGAGGTGCAGACGCGCTGCGCCATTTTTTGTTCATGCGGTCCATTCTTGACCATACACGGGTAGCGGCGCCTGGAGGGTACGCATTAGGTCACTCTTACGTTATCACTGACGTCATATGGCGTATCAGACTGTGATTAGTTCAGCATCCTTACCTCTCTCCGCCACTAGCTGTGATTGGTCTAATGTAACATGACGTGCCCTGCCACCAGAGGGAAGAAGTCGCTGACCTAGCCGAGCCAGTCTCATTGTTCTCAGTTCTCCGCGTATACTGTTCTCTCTTGTGCCCGCTATTCCCCTCACAATGGCTTCCGCTGGACCCCCACCACCCCGGAGAAACCTTGAACTACCTGAACCAAGCCATGATTATGTGAAGGAAGTCATCGAGTTGGGGGAGAAAATCAAGCTCATCCTTGACAAAGACACAGTCAAGCATTGGTATGAAGTGTCTAATAACCTTCTGTCAAAAATTATGGAGCCGCATGTCCAGATGTATCATGACAACACCAATGCTAGTCTCGCCCGCAACCCACCACAACCACAGCCAGCCCAAGTCAGTGATAGTGACAGTGACGATATGGACTTTGAGGGGTTTGTCAGGGAGACGCTGCAAACCTCTGCGAATAGTGATAGTGATTCAAGTGATTCACCCGAGGATCACTAATCTGCCCTCTGCCTCGGAACCAGCTGCCATCCACGTGTGCCGACTCATCTCTTCTACTAACGTAAGTGTTAAACACCTTTAGATTTGTAGTTTTTTATTTAGATATTATGTGTGTGTCAATACCATCATAAAATTAAGATGATATTTTTACTACAAGATACGTATTGTGTCGGAAAAAGTGGAGTTTGGGAGTCGGCTCAGTCTCTATTTCAATTAATCTCATATGTTCTGTTATTTCGTTTATGCGTTTCTCGTTTTAGCGGACCTCCATGGGTTCAATTGACCGCATAATGAAGACTATACTGTATATATATATATATATATATATATATATATATATATATATATATATATATATATATATATATATATATATATATATATATCACTGTAGGTGCGCGTGATCTAGGTATATGCTGATAACCACAAGGAAAGAAGAAAACACGAAGTTCCCAAGCGCTTTCGTGTAATTCACATCTTCAGGGGTGAGTATATATATATATCATGTAGATCCACAATGAAAACAGTTTGCTGTTTTTATTCAAGACATCTTCAGTTGCCTCTAAAGATGTTCCTGAATAAAGACGAGTCATGCCCGCTGTTTCCCCCGTGTGATTTATATATATATATATATATATATATATATATATATATATATATATATATATATATATATATATATATATATATATGATAAAATCACACGGGAAAATGGATTTTATCAAGATTTATCTTATCCACGTTTTCATTGTGGATTTACATGTATATATATATATATATATATATATATATATATATATATATATATATATATATATATATATATATACACATACACTTTTTCTGACACAATGCGTACGTTGTAGTAAAAATAACATCTTAATTTTATGATGGTATGCACACACAATTAATATTTAAGAGAAATGTCAATAATACTGTATTAGGTTTTTTAACACTTACAGTACATTAGTAGAAAATATGGCTGGGCACATTGGGATGGGGGGTTGGTTCCGAGGCAGAGGGCAGATTATTGGCCCTCACCTGTATCACTTGTATCAATATCCACCACAGAGGCCTGCAGGCCTCTTTGTCAAACCCCTCAAAGTCCATATCCTCACCATCTCTGACTTGGGCTGGCTGTGGTGGGTGGCGGGTGAAGAACTCGGAAATGTTTTGTTGACTGGGTGACCTTGTGTGCACCCTGCCCGTGCCGCTTCCCGCGTTAATGATGGAATGAACCGTTTAAATAAAAATTGTCGGTCTGGCAAGGTGCCGCGTAAATGACCAAACGCGTAAACCAAATCCGCGTAAACCGAGACTATACTGTATAGTGATTTAAGGGCGATTTAGGGGAATTTTAGGAGTGTTTCTGACTTTATGCATTTTTGGCTTTACTTTGTATGTACTTTTCTGTGAGCTGGAACCAATTACCCAATATCCCATTGAAATAATGGATTCGGTTAACGAAATTTTCGGTTAACGAACGTCTCTGGAACGAATTGTGTTCATTAACCGAGGGACCACTGTATAAAGATTAATTCAATCAAATACATATTCACTAATAAACAATAATGAATCTTTTGTACATATTCTTAAAAAGATAAATGACACGGTATCCTTAAATGTGCAAGTATATGTTGGCGTTCCCAATCCATCTCTTTTTTTTTCTTTGCCATTAGTGGTTAGCTGCTTCTATTGTTCCATTTATTAACATTAAATAACTTTTCTCAAGACATATATTATTATTCATTTATATTGTATAAGGTGGATTCATAAGCTTTACTTAAAGAATATAGTTTGCAATTTTCATTAATTGTATTGTTTTGGGGGGAAAAGAGGGTAAAAAGCCACACAAAAGATATGAAAAGGTCACACTGGGGAACACATCTCATTATTATTGCTTTATTTTAATGGTAATTAATGATTCATGATACAATGATTCACCTCACACTGCAATATTGGAGGCCACATTACTGCCATTATTCGAGGCTTTACTCGACAGTAATAATTCTGGTAATTCTGGCTGGTTGTCCCTGTTAAGACCCTGTTTTTTTTTACGAAAAACACGGAGTTATTACCACCACCACCACCAATATACTGTACTAACATACCTCTCATACGAAACATTTCACGATGGACCTCGGACAAAATGAAGGCGACCCTCCGTCGATAGTTGACTTGGAGTATGTTGGCTCCCTCTGAGCAAGACTCCTTTGGTTCTTGTAGGCAAGGTAGTGGCTGTGTTTCTGCTGCAATTGCCTTTGCAGAGTTTACTACGTCTTTGTCTTTATCAAGTTGTGCTCTGCCCACTGGTATAATGTTGTCTGCCATGTCAATTAGTCTCATTGCTGTAAGTGAAAAAGAGAGATTAACTCCACATGAAAATTAATGCTGTTTCTTTGTTTTCATTCCTATAATTTGGATCAAAATGCATCACTGGCAACCCACTTTTAATTTTCTTTCTTACACTATGTAATTTTAAGGCAGTTGCCCTTTATCAACATCTTTCACTTCCCTCATACTAATTTTCAGTGGAGTTCCCTGTCATATACTGTACAGTATTGTCTTTCCATCTACCTACAACTTAAATCTCCATACTGGAAGACTTTTTGCCCAGCTAAAGTATAATCACACAAATCTCACATTATTTTTCTTATTCCTGATGTGTGAGGTTATTGTTGCCTCTCACAAGGCATGTATACTTCTCCAGTTCATCTCAGTGTAGTAAAGATAATAAGGTGCTTCTCTTTTTATTAATTTTTATAACGAAAATTTTACCATATTTACTTATGACCACCCACTAGAGGTGGCCATACCGAGGGAAGGAGGTCAGTGGCCTGTGTAGGATCCCTCTATTATTCTTGATAGTTTAGTCAAGGGCTGTGTACTGCTCTTCATCCCACAGCTTTGGCTGGTAGACCGCTCCATGGGTCCACCAGCCTTTGTGTGAAGAAGTATTTCCTTATATTCGTTCTGCATGATAACTTGGCAGTTGCATCTCCTTGTGGTGATGGTGCATGGCATTCCAAAGAATTGTCCTGGGTTCACATTTTCCAGCCCTTTCTGGATTTTGAATGTTTCAGTGAGATCTGTCCTATTGTGTCTTGTCTGAAGGGTTGTTAGGCCTAAGGCCCTCGGAATATACTCACCAGTGACTCAGTAGTTTACACATGATATTCCCAATTTCATTTACGGTCAGATGATATGAGATTTTTTAGAAGACATACTAGCGGTACAAAAAACTCTGCAGGATCAACACAGCTCTGATTTCTCACAACATTCCACAATGAATTTAGACAATTTTTGCTCAAGGATCAGAGTTAGCTATTTTACTTTTTACTTTTATCCTCTTCGCCACTGATCGGCTTGTTAGCCGCTTGGGCGATCGGTCACGACTCTTTTCCTTTATATTCTTCACCAAAAGGTCGGCTCGCTAGCCGCCCGGGCGATCGGTCACGTCTCTGTCACGCACTGTTGGCAAATACTGGGCATGCACCGGCTCCTGAATGTACCTGAACCCGCTCCAGTGTTGGTCAAGTCTTCTCTTGAAAGAGCTCACACTCGGTGCCGTCACAACACTTTCTGGTAGATTGTTCCAAGAGTTTACAACCCTCACTCCGAAAAAGTTTGCCCTCACGGTTTTCCGGACTTGCGGCTTCTTCAATCTTGAGCTATGACCCCTTGTGGGGCGAGCGTCCGCCAGCTCCAAGTAAGGACACTCAACTGAGTAGTGCCCCCTGAGATGCTTATAAACCTCAACTAGGTCCCCCCTTGCCCGTCTGTAGTATAAGCTAGGCAAGTTCAGGCGCTCCAATCTCGCAGGGTAGCTGAGATGCCGAAGTGCAGGCACCAGCTTGGTGGCCCTCCTTTGAACATTTTCAACCAACTGACAGTCCCTAGCATATCTCGGGGACCAGATGGGGTGACAGTACTCCAGATGGGGAAGCACTTCACTCCTGAAGATCGTCACGAGGGACGGACCGTCTAGATATCTGAACGACCTTCTTATAAGACCCAATAATTTATTTGCCTGATTTACCTTCTTCTCACAATGGCCCGAGAACTTCAGCTCATTGTCAACATACACACCTAGGTCCTTCTCACACACAGTCTCAACTAGTACATTTTCTTCATCCCGTTGGGACATATGGTACGCCTCCTTACCGTTGGTACGCCCCAGGTGCATCCTCTTACACTTCGTGACATTGAATCTCAGCAGCCATTCCTTCGACCATTCCTGGAGCCCACAGAGGTCCTTCTGCAGCTCTTCACAGTCCGCTTGGTTCTTAATTTCCCGAAATAACTTGGCGTCATCGGCAAACATTTGTATGGAGGAGTGTACAACGTCAGGCATATCATTTATGAAACAAACAAACAACAGCGGGCCCAATACACTACCCTGCGGTACCCCACTTGTTACAGGTACAGATGACGATTTCGTGCCATTAATCACCACACATTGCTTGCGGTCATGTAGAAAGTCTTCTATCCACGCTAGGACATTTCCCCGAATTCCGTACCCTTCCAGTTTGATTTTCAGCCTTTCGTGGGGTACACTGTCGAAAGCCTTGGCAAAATCTAGGTAAATATTGTCGATATTACCACCCCGTTCTAGAATATGGGTCCAAATATCCAATACCTTGAGCAATTGTGTCAAGCAAGAGCGCCCCGGCATAAAACCGTGTTGGCAATCTTTTACAAGGTTGTTTCGTAGTAGATGTTCCATCGCTGCATCTCTGATAATACTCTCAAGTACTTTACATATTATGCTGGTCAGGCTCACCGGTCTATAGTTGTTCGTGGAGTGCCTATCGCCCTTCTTGAAGATAGGACTCACATAAGCCACTTTCCATTCACTGGGGACCATTTGTTCATCCAGGCATTTACAAAACAGAATCTTCAGGGGCTCTGCAAGCTCGTTGCACAGCTCCCTTAGCACTCTAGGATGCACCATGTCAGGTCCAGGACTCTTATGGACCTTTAGCCTGGACAGTTTATTTCTAATACCCTCTTCTGTGAACACAATGTGGGTCAGTGCTGTGTCGAACCGTCTGTCCTCAAACGCAGGAAGGTTAGTTGCATCCTCTCTTGTGAACACTGAGGAAAAGAAGCTGTTCAATGCCTCAGCTTTATCCTGGTCAGAATCTGCGTAACTACCATCTTCAAGCCTCAGGTCTGATACTCCTACTCGCGTTTTCAATTTCGACTTTGCATAGCGGTAAAACGCCTTTGGGTTTGACTTGACCTCGCGTGCAACCAGCCTTTGGAACTCCTTTTCAGCCCTCCTACACTCTATCTTTGCTTGGTTTCTGGCTCTTGCATACATCCTCCTGTCTTGCTCATCGTTTGACCCAACCCACGTCTTGAATTTCTGGGTTTTCTTCTTAATTTTGTCGACCGCCGCATGGTTCATGTGTAGGGATCCCCTCGTATTCCTAGAAGCACTGGGTTTGGTCTTGGGTATATATTTATCGATCAAATGGGTCATTTTACTAGTTATGATATTCAGCGTAGTGTCTGCGTTCTTGTACCTTAATAAGTCAGGCCAGTTGATACCCCTCATCTCTTCCCTCATCCCATTGTAATTTCCCTTGTAATATTTGCACCTTGGCCTGGCCTTATCTTGAACTAGGTAACAGTTAAATCTGAATGACAACACTGTATGGTGACTGGTGCCAACTGGGGCAAGGTGTTCCAGTTTGGCCACCATACCCTCCTCGTTTGTTATGATGAGGTCAAGTGGCTTGGGTGTTTGTTCCCCTCTGTAATGTGTCGGGTCTCTCACATGTTGGAACAGAAAATTATCTCTCAGAGTTTCTACAAAAAGAGTAGCAGGATTATTCAAGTCATTCGGGGTTGACTCGTTTCTCCAGTCGATGTCGCCATAGTTAAAGTCCCCCATGATAAGGAGGTGGCTGGGGTTGAGCATCGCCGCATTGTTTATTAAGGTTCTTAAGTTCCTTTGATTTAGTGGGCCACAGTTCGGGGATCTGTAGATACACCCGACGATAAGTAAGTCCCCTCCCTTTAATTTAATTTTACACCACTTGGACTCTTCAAAGACATCCTCTCCCTGTACCCTCGCCTGGCTGGCTCTAAGGTCTTGCCTAGCGTAGATAACCACACCCCTCCTGCAGGATTCTTGAGTTAGGTTCGTAAATGAGTCATATCCAGCAATACTGAACTCACATTCCTCTGGGTCGATTCTCCTGTTCTTGTACAACAGTTCTACAACTCCTACAATATCTGGTTGGTGTACTCTTAGTAGTGTTTCAAACTCCTCCCTCTTATCAAGGAACGTGTCGGTATTAGTGTACATGACATTCAAGCCAGAATTTGTTCTCGGTAACGTCTCTGCTCTTAGTAATAAACCCGCTCCACCCACATTCTCAGAAGCTGCAGCATTTGCTAAGTACACTGTATTTTGCAGGGTGTGGTTAAAAATTTCATTGTTTACACGGCGCTCGTTCCCTCCTGTCCGGTAGGCTGAGCTGGTGCCGCCTCCCGGGTGGGGGGTTGAGTGGGTGGAGGGTGCACTGCTGCCCCCTGGCCCTGTGTCGGCACACTTGTTTCCACTACCCTCCCCCTGAGTATAACCCATGTGCACCTGTCCCCGTTCCTTCTCAAAGTTTACTGCACTGTCACTCATGGCTATAGACACATTACAACTGTAAAATTATACTGTGAAGGGCAACATGGTCAATTGTTCTCACTATAATTAATGTGCTAAGACTGAGAAATATAAAATAGCTAAATACTTGTAGGTAAGTGAAATTTTTACCAGTTTTTAATAGCAATTTTAAATAGCAGCTAAACTGCTATTCAAATAAAGAAGCTTAGGCAATACTTAACTTTCTTGACAGCAGAAACATGTTTCATCACTACACTGACCTACCTTGGAGCAGTAGATCTGGACACGGGACTCGTGTACTGTACTGCAAAATTCGGCCATTTTGGAAAATGGCGGCTACTGAATTAACCCTTAGACCCCGGTTGACGTTCCAGAATGTCCGCCTATTCCCGCCACTTTTTATTATTTTTTTAAGTTGATTTTTTTTCGATTTAACCCCCACGCGGGGGGGGGGGGTTCTGCCAACAGCACCCTAACCCGGGGCTTAAAGGTTAAAGCCCTGGAAATGAAATATCTACCTAAATTTTCTTTTTTCTGAACCGGTCATGTAATCACCACAAACAGTAAAATTTCATGTGGGTAACATTTTTTGTGGGGGTCTAGTGTGAAGCCTGGACTATATTTGTTGCTTAAGTTTATCTTACTTATTTGACTTTTTTACTTGGCATCCACTGGTTCCTGAATATATTGGAACCTGCTGCAATGTTGGTCAATTCT